AGGAGGAGGAGGAGGAGGAGGAGGAGGAGGAAGAGGAAGAGGAGGGGAAGGAGGGGGAGGAGGAGATGTAAACAATTGCAATTATACTGTTTCCCCAAATATGAATTTTGCTGCAGTTTAGGAGCCCCTTCTTAGTCCTTACCAAGTCACATCAGGAGGAGGAAAAGCATCAGCCTTCCAAACCAGCTTCAGTACTTTTTGCCCTTCATGGGCCTCATAATACAGTTGTTGTTTCTTTTTGGCAAAATTAATGAAAGCTTGTTCTTCAATAAAGAAGAAAGAGAGTAAAAGTTAATTCCAAATTTGCCCAAATGTTCTTCTGGGCATTAAAATACAATTGTGCAAAAGATAGCAGGTAAGAAGAAGAGACAACAAGGCAGATGTGATATGGGAAAAAGCAAGAAATGGGATGGCCATTCTTATGTCTTTTAAAGCATGTGGTATTTATTTTTCATGGGTGTAGTGACATTTTATTAATTTAACTCTGAGGCACAGCTTGATCTGTAAGTAATTGTGAAGAACATTCAACGTATGAAAGCAACAGGGACATTTTAAAAACACCCATTCTAAGTGAAGGCTGGTGAAGGAAACAACACACAGGCACAATCTTTTGTGGACAGTATTTCTTTTAACTCTTGAATTAATGGCTTTCTCATAGCATGCAATCATTTTTTTTCCTGACCCACAATTGGGGAATTATTAAAATATATCAACACCACACAGCAGCAGATGGTCCACGCCACTGAAGGGTGATTTTTGTTTGGTTTCAGCTGTGAACACAATATTTTTCAAAATGACAATATATTATGAAACATTTCTGGAATTTCTTGAAGGTAGCTACAAAAATGAAAAGCTATTATTCCCTGGTATATCCTTCAAGATATACATAGGTGCAAATTTAGAATATTGCATGAGATTTTGCCCGGATGGACCCTCTGACTAGCTTGGAGTCTAAAAATGATGGTGGCAGAATGGAGACTGAGGACAGGTGCTGAGTCTAAACCACAGAGATTGTGATATAAGCAACTGGGAAGTTGATGGAGCAGAAGAAATTACTTATTTTTAGCCACCAATGTTGACCAAAAAATTGAGACCTCCTCTCCCGCACAGTTGATGGAGCAGAAGAAATTACTTATTTTTAGCCACCAATGGTGACCAAAAAATTGAGACCTCCTCTCCCGCACAGTTGATGGAGCAGAAGAAATTACTTATTTTTAGCCACCAATGGTGACCAAAAAATTGAGACCTCCTCTCCCGCACCCCCCCCCCCCAACAAAGCAACTTTGGTGCAAATTAACTGGGCTGGGGGAAGTTGGAAATGCTAAGACTGCTGGCTTGGGTGATGAATGAGGCTGATTTAAGTCAACATTGAGGTTGGAAGGTATGAAGCTTTCTCAAAGGAGGGAGCTATGTTGGTTCTGGAGGGGCCTTATCAGCAAGGGAGGGAATCATATAATGTGGTCCTGGCAGCTTGCACAAAAGTGGCATTTCCTGACCACACCTCTTTCGACACCCATTTCTATTTGGTCATCCCATTTTGAGGTCATTCTTACTGTATATTATGACTGTAGTATTGACTTCCATGACTCCTTCGGATGTATTGATTGCTTCGCATATATAATGCCCTTTATCCTCCATTGTAACATTCATGATAGTTACATTACTAGAGACTTTGACAAAGGTGGTTCCCCGGACAATATTCTTTATTGGCCTTGGTTCCTAGAAGGGACAAGAGAGAGGCACAGAAAAACTTGCACTGAGCTCAGTTCAAAATCTCCAAATTAAAAATCCATAAAGGGGAATATCATTATGTCCTTTGCCAGATGTGTGCATGGTAGGATTGATGGGAGTAGACTTCAAGAGTCTTAGAAGATGACCAAGGAGTCCCTTCTTCCTTGTTTAATGTTTAAAAGGCACTTCAAGGAGTAATTTTCTTTTCTGGGATTTTATGGATCACTGAGAAATCCCATGGACAGTCCAGGAGGTGTTCTAAAAAGAGGTCCCTGTCCTTTAATGAGTCTTGCACTACCACAAACATTCTGATTTGTTTTTCTAACTTTAAAAGGCGGGGTGCACGCCTCGTGTTTATTTAGTGGTACAGACATTTTTAATCCTTCTTTCCATGCTTATTTGTAGTCCTCTACTGATATAGTTTAAGCCCCTTGGTCAACAATGGGCAATTGAATGTTTATTTAGGAAAGCTAACGAACATGCAGTGGATCCATTTCTGAAGAACCAAGGCCACAAATCTTCAGAAAAGAGGCACACACTTTAAGCAGGCAAAGGACTTGCCCCAACTAAGGGACAGATTGGAATGACTCACTCTCTTTCCTGGAAATTTCCATATAAGTGCTATCCGTCCATTTACGTAAGTCTCTGCTTTGCATTTCAAGTTGAGGGTTTCTCCAACCAGAAGTTTTTTGGGAGCTGCTTTCACAGTCAGGTTCCAAACCCTGTTCACTAAAATAAATAAGAAAGTCAATGATCAAACATCCACTCCAACAATGTTGAGTGCCACATGCAGAATCTACTACTGTACTTGATGACCCTTCAGCCATATCCATTCCATGGAGAACATCCTACCAGCATTGGTAGGACTTTGAGGGGGGTTTATGGAAGCAAATCCATTTGATTTCCATAACTGAAATCAAGTTAGTCCAGAATAGAGTCCAGCAGTGGGAAATCATGTCCAAAAAGAGAGTGGGGAGGTTTTCATCACACAGAGCAAAGGCAGTAAGCACTCACCCACTTTCTGTGGTAGGTAGTAAGTGGCATGTTCCTTCCCGTTGACTGTAGCAATGCATTTGAGCATGCTACTAAAGAACTCAAAGGAGGGTGAAGTGATAAGGAATCCTTTCTTTGGGTCCCATTCCTTCTTCTCATAGGTGAAAGAACTGGGGGAAAGATGCTAAAGAAAAAAAGGCAGACATAAAGGTACTGTTTTTTTTTTTTTTTGGTCTGAGATAAGGCTACAGTAGATGTAATACAGAAGGGCTCAACCTGTTTTGATCGTGAAATGTCCGAAACCTGAGATGTCCTGCTCTGATCTTGTCAGCCCTCCCAAGTTAACCAGACAGGAAGCGTGCCCAGATGGACTAATTCTACTTTATTGTAAGGCTACATTAACTGAATCTTGCAAGTCTGAAAGTACGAATCTCCTGGCCTCCCTATTTACGGCCTGAGTAGTTAGGGCAGGTCCTTCCTAAGTTTCTTTTTCTGGCCATTACTCTTTGCGGACTCCCTTCTCTTTTATCTGATCGTTCCCTAGAGGGCATCTCTTCTCCATGTCTTCCAAGGTCGCCCTCACATTCCATCGCAGATCTGGAGACGGGTATTCTAAGGCCCATTCCAGATTTACTGAAAGTGTTCTGACATCAGATGTGTCTCTCACAGACTTACCAGAAGTGGCCCACTCCCCAAAAGGGCAATTTCAAACTCCATGCAGGAATGGGATGTTTTGAGCTTGGACCACTTCTAGTAAGGTCAGAATATCATCTTCCCAAAGATGGAATATTGCAAAACATTTTGTGCATCTCTAGTTCAGTTCTGTTCAGACTCATCTCTTGTTTCCCTTTCTTCACTTAAGGAGCAGTAAATCACGCATTGTAGTTCCCCAGTTCAATGACTGGCATCTCCAAACACAACTACAGAAATTCTCCCTGAGAGTCTGGATTGCTGCTAGTCAGGGTCAAGAACACTGAGGTAGACCAGTCAATGGATCAAATCAGTGGCTCTGTTTGTCCAATACACCATAACCATAAATGAAGCAACCGCATTTTAGCCCAACATGTTGCACAAATCCAACCACATGGCTAGTTTGTGGATCAATGTATCATAGCACCCAGAAATTGGGGATAATTAAGTGAATTATGATTCTGTTAAGATGGTTAAGTGTGGCGTGCAATACAGTTATTATATGCTAGCCTTCTATGATCTGAATTTATATTATTTACTTTGGTGCATCACGCCACATTTCAAGAGAGGGTTTTAAAGGAGTATGCAGCACAGCTAAGTGAAAAGATAAATTTAAGCAGCCAAGCAATATTGTAAATATGACAGGTTTTTGTTAAAGGCAAAAAAGGAGGAGAGAAGGAACTTCTTGGTGGACCTATACAGTAGATTTCTGACCTACCTTCATCATCCCCATTGATTTTGGTTGGTGGCATGGTGAACAGACACTAGTCAGTCTTCAACTTAATCATTAGAACCTAGCCACTGTGGTTTGTAAGCTTCTTTTAGCTTAGTGTAATGATTGCTATTTCCTTTTCCAGAATAACAATTTGCCTTAGGTTGGGTATATATCTGGTTCTTGTACAGAGCCTCTCAACTGGATCTCACAAGATCTTGCCTAGATAGCTGAGCTTCCTATGTTCCTGGAACAAAAAGCAGATCATTAGCTCCTCCTCAACAGGAAGAGCTATCAATCAGTTTCCTGTCCCAGCTGATTTGTGCTGGAACAACAAGGACATCTGGAATCCTGCCATGCCCCTCTGTAGTTTGGTGCCCTTCAGTTCTCACTTCCAGGGTCTTCCTCAATCTTGACTTCTCCTTCTTGCGCTCTTATGAACTTTATCTCCCATACCTACAAATTCCAATCATGTTGAAATGCTGCCCAAAAACTATAGATGTCACCATCACTGGCCATGAGACCTGTTCGTCCAACTTGTCTCCTATATAATCCCCTGCTTTCACCCTGGAAAAAGAGAACACGGGGCAATGCTTCATGTTAAGTCAGGCCATTCATCCTCCTATGTTGGCTGTGGCTTGAAGAGGACTTTGGATTAGAAATCAGGGCCTTCCAGCTGCAGAGGTACAAATGTCCAGCCAGAATGAGATATCAAGAAGTACTACCTACGAAGCACATCTTTTAAAAACATTGCGTAGCCACAGAAGTGTAATTTTTAGTTTGGCAAATGTTTTCTCTTCCATGCCAAATAATGGTGCTTATTCTCAAGGGAATGTTCTGTAGAATAAGGGCAGAACTCCTTTTTCATTCTTTTTTGGGGGGGGGGGCAGTGGTGGAGGTGTCCTTTATCCAAGCTTGAAATGGAAACCCATGGATCTTCCAGGTCTCTCTCTCTCTCCCCCTCTTCAAATTCTTCTTTTGTAATAAAAAAAACTAGAGTCTGGAAGCATTTTTCCTTTCATATGTTAATTTCATTTATTTATTGAACAATGGGCTTGCCACTTTACGAGGCTACCATTGTAAAATGCAAAGAAGGGACAGTTGAGTTGGCCGCATCTCTGTTTTAGGTTGAAGGTTATCCCTGGTTTGCAGTCAGGAGCTCAGTCAGGCATCCCAGAGTCGGTTGGAGTTTGGCGGCATTAAAATGGAACCAATAAGCATTTTTGAAAATGAAAAAATCCATGATCACGTGATGGAACCTCCACCCCTTTCTATATGCAACCCACGGAAGAAAAGGGGTGGGGCTTGGATCTTGCGATCTTTCTTGATTTTTTGGACTCTTCCCCTGTGGACAACCCTGCACCAATGCACTTTTTTCCCTGCATTAATAGCATTTATTGGCAAAGGGTCAGGGCAGATCAGAACAAAATTAGAAGATTCTGAGCAATCATTGTTTCCTTTCTGAGGTTTTCTCAGGCAATAAATCAGGCCCCGTGGGAAGGAATAGCCCACATGGCTTTGTCCCACATGAATTTTATATTGCGTGTGTGTGTGTGCGTCGAGAAGGTTGAATTTCAAGTCCAGCTCCAGAACTAATCAGTCAACTGACATGAGGAATGAACTTCTTTCTAGCATTAGCAATCCATAGAATTTCCCATAAATATTTAAGGAGGATAGAGTGCAGTCATTTTAAAAGATAATGGAAACATCAGAAATGTAATTTAGGAGGGGGAAAGTATATTGTTTCAGGAATCATGAAACAGAATGGGGCTGAATATTGTAACTCTGCATTTGAGGATTCCCTGATGGTCCAATTAAAATATATATATAGAAATACTGCATATAGATATGATAGATATAGATACACACACCCCTATTCCACATATTAAATGAAGCTCCTCATGCAATATTAAAAAGTTGTATTGTTATGAAAAGAGAAGAGGAACCACAGTTGATTTTACCCCAACCTTTAAAAGGCCTTGATGCTATTTTTCTCCCCCTCTTTCCTGCAGCTTTATCACTGAGCAGTTATTAAATTTGGAGGAGGATGTTCTAAATTTGTCAAATCGTTTGACTCCTTCCTTCCCTCCCCCCTCAGTTTCCTGTGAGTAAAGGAAGCCGCCAACACGGCTCCACACACAGTATTTCCAGACAAGGCCAAAATAACAAGCCGGCTTTCCTTAAATGGGAACAGAAAGATGAGCGCCCAAGGTAAACACACCTCTACCGAAAGGCTTATCCGCTCTTCTGGAGAGTCTCTCAAGCCAGGGGAAGAGACACCTTCCTTTCTGTGTCTGAATGTCAGCCCCCCACCCCTTCTGTCTCCTTCGAAGGAGGAAGAACAACGTCTTCAGCCCAGACGTCCTAGCAGCCCAAAATGGAAACATCTGCCCATCCCTCCAAAGGTCTAGGACGAGATCCTCCAGTTCAGGACCGAGAAACAAGTGGGAAAGGTTTGATTCAGCTCCAGAGGTGGGAAAGATCAGAAATAAGGCATCTGAACTCCTTGCTCTTTCCTCAAGGAGATGCGATCTTCAGGTTTCTGGGAGGCTGCTAGGCTGATATTAATTCTCCATGTAGTTTGACAAAAGTCAACAGAGATGTTAAGTCAACATTTACAGAAAGCCAGAGCTGTTGCTACACCAGCCAAGAAGGAGAGAGAGAGAGAAAAAGCCAAGAATGGGTTTCATTTCAAGATTATGAAAACAAGTGTGTGTGTGTGTGTGTGTGTGTGTGTGTGTGTGTTTTGGACAGAGTATTTT